TGAGGTCAAATTCTTCATCTTCCTCGGTAACCATTACTCTTAATTGTTTTAAAGGACATTCATGCCCAGGAGTATAAGGCTTCTTGCATCGAAAACAAAGTTCTTTTGAACGTAGGTCTGCTAATTCCTGCGGTGAGAGGCGCGTGAACCGAGACCGATTCACTGACTGACCAGTCATGGCTGACCCGGTCCCCCATGTACGACCTGAAGATCGCGAGAAAGTCGTGCTTCCTGCTGCCCCTTGAGTTCCAGTAACTGGCGTGGAAGAAAACCCGCCAACCTTGGTGTAATTACTGGAACGGTACTGCTGATTGTTGTAACCCCGTTCCGTTCTCCCTCTGGACTGTACAGCCAAGTTGTCTTCGATATCCCTGGCCAACTCCATAGCAGCCTCCAAATCAGCCGGTCGTAGAAGCCGTAAGGAATTGCGAATGGTGTCTCGTAGCCCTTTCATAAAGTCCAACCCCAAGTAGTGGGCATCACTCAAACCTGGGACCTGACTGGCTAATTGCACGAACACATTCACATAGTCTTCCACGGACCCTGACTGATTAACATCGGCCAACCGTTCGAACGTGCTCCCTTTGAACCGAGTATCAAAACGGGCTACAAAGGACTTGGGAGAACTCCTCCCAGGATATGTTCGGTCTCCCCGATCGTGTCCATGAAAATCAGTATAGAGCTGGTCCCTCCATGGCTACCATGGCAGACGCCACCCTCAACTCGGGTCGGGTGTGGTGGATTTCAAACTGTTGGTTAGCCCTGGCGAGCCACCCTATCGGGTCTGCCCCCTCAAAAGCTGGTAGCGTTAATGGCGCGTTCACAGTCCCTGGGTTGTGGGGGGTTTGTGTTTCGCCCACTGAGTCAGCCGTGCCTCCCCCGCCTGAATTGGAATTAATAGGCGGTTCGTCTGTGGCCATAACCTTCTGCGTCAGTTTGTCCAATATTGCGGTGATAGCATCTAACTTGGCGTTTGTGGAGTGCACTTCCGCCCTGATTTCTCGCTGATCTGCCTCTATCGCATCGATGCGTTGATCAATGGTAGAACGAGTCATGGTGAGTAGTAGGGCGGTGAATGGAAATCCGACAGGTCGGACCAAATTGATAGAAGCAGAAAATCCTAGCAGACGATATTAACGTCTGTCCCAGCCTTAGGCTCAAACCAAATCCTTATTCTCCATAATCCCCCTTAGTTCACAAGAGCAAACCTCCTTAAATACTCCTTAACCTAATAATAAAATATAGCCATCTAGGCCCAGTAACCTAATAATAAAATATGCCCATCTAGGCCCAACAGTTTATTAGAACTAACAATTGAATGATATAAAGTAATAAAACCCAGCCGTCAATCCATCCCATCTAGGCCCGCTGGCGGCGACGGTAAACCAAGAATGGGCGAGGCCTGTCCTCCTGAAGGAGCGGCCCAGTTGCCTCCTCCTGGAGCCTCGGCCCAACTGCCTCCTGCTCTCTAACATTGAAGCTTCCTGTACAACTCGTTCCGTCATTTGGGGTTCAGATAGGCAATGGCAGCACAATTAAGTGCAGTCGTGTTTGTGCTGCTCTTAATTAAAATTTCAGATTTATTGATCAAGCAAGATTTCTTTCCGTTCTCCCTGGGGGTGCTGATCTAGTTCTGGGAATCAAATGGTTAGCTCCTCTGCACACCATCCAAGCAAATTGGAAGGAAATGTTCATGATATTTTGGCTCAATCGGAAGAGGTATAAGCTACAAGGGGTAAGTAACTTCTAAGCCTCAAAATGGTTAGCTTCTCTGCACACCATTCAAGCAAATTGGAAGGAAATGTTCATGATATTTTGGCTCAATCGGAAGAAGTATAAGCTACAAGGGGTAAGTAACTTCTAAGCCTCAAAAGGGCATTCATCTACGGAGCCTATCGTTAGATTTGGAACATAGTGGGGTTGATGCTTTAAATGTTGATTCCATATGTTCTGAATTTTCAAGTATCTTTGCCGAACCCCGTACGCTGCCTCCTGCCTGGAATCATTATCATTCCATCACTCTCAGGAAAATGAAAATCCACCCAACTTGAGACCCTATCGATACCCTCATTCTCAAAAAAATGAGATTGAAATCCAAGTTGCTGAATTACTAAAGAAAGGTTTTGTGAGGCCCAGTTCAAGTCCCTTTGCAAGTCCAGTTCTGTTGGTTAGAAAGAAGGATAAAATACATGGCGCCTTTGCATTGACTATTGACGTCTAAATCAGATCACCATCCCAGATAAGTATCTCATCCCCAATATTGATGAACTGTTTGATGAATTAGATGGGGCTACATATTTTTCAAGAATTGATTTGAGATCTGGTTACCACCAAATACTCGTAGCGCCCTATGATATTCTCAAGACTGCATTTCGAACTCACTCAGGGCATTATGAATTTGTGGTAATGCCCTTCGGTCTCACTAATGCACCTGCAACTTTTCAGTCTGTTATGAATGATCTGTTTAGATCGCAATTGAGACGGTTTGTGCTAGTCTTCTTTGATGATATACTGGTATACAGTCCCACAGCTCACCAGCATGTAGAGCACTTGAAAATTGTCTTTCAGCTTTTACAAGAGCATTCTTTCTATGCAAATGCAAAAAAATGTTCACTGGGGCAGTCCTGGATTGAATATTTGGGACATTCTCACAGGCAAGGGGGTGGAGGTGGTTCCAGATAAAGTTGCAGCTGTTATCTCTTGGCCCCCACCCTCCGACGCGAAGGAACTGAGGGGTTTTCTGGGGCTCACCGGGTACTATAGGCGGTTTGTGAAGAATTATGGGCTCATTGCACGTCCTCTGACTGAATTAACAAAAAGGGGTGCTTTTTCATGGACTGCACAAACCCAAGCTGCTTTTGATGCTCTCAAAGAAGCCCTGACCACTACTCCAGTTCTGAAGCTTCCTAACTTCAAGCTCCATTTCACTATTGAGTGTGATGCGTCTATGGATGGTATAGGAGCGGTGCTTATGCAAGAAGGGTATCCTATAGCCTATTTCAGCAAAAGGGTTTTCTATGTCCAATAGATTTAAATCAACTTATGATCGAGAGTTGCTGGTACTAGTTCTAGCTCTTCAAAAATGGTGTCATTACCTCTCAGTCCATCATTTCACTGTTCAAACAGATCACTGCAGCCTGAAACACTTGCTAGATCAGAAGGTATTAACTAATTCCCAACAGAGACTCCTCATTAAAATACTTCCATTTGATTTCACAATCACTTATAAATCTGGGAAGGATAATTCAGCTGCTGATGCACTAGCTCGACGTCCCCAACCAGCAGAATTCTTTCAATTAGTGGTTCCCATGGTAAACGACATTTCTCAATTACCATTAGCTTTGAAAGAAGATCCAGAAACAAGAGCCCTAATTGAAAAGATGCAGAGAGATTCGGAATCAAGGTTGTATTACAAATTAAGGTTGGTCATTCCTAATCAAGAGGAGCTCCGTAGTAAGCTGATTGAGGAAGCGCGTGGCACTCCAACTGGGGGGCACGGGGGCTATCTAACGACATTGAAAAGGTTGGGTGCCCATTTATATTGGAAGGCAATGAAATATGATGTTATGCGTTTTATTCAAAGATGCGCAATTTGCCAACAGAATAAATATCAAACGTTGGTTCCTGCAAGGCTTCTTAACCCTCTTCCCATTCCAGAACGCATATGGGAGGATGTATCTCTGGATTTCATTACAGACCTTCCAAAATCTAAGGGTTGTGACGTAATCTTCGTGGTGGTCGACAGATTAAGCAAATATCTCCATTTCATGGGTTTATCTCATCCTTATACTGCTAAATCAGTGACACAATTGTTCTGTAAGGAGATAGTCCGTCTTCATGGTATGCCCCGCTTTATAGTCTCTGACAGCTTGAGTGGGTTTTGGCAAGAATTGTTTTGGATTAGCAAGACTAGCCTGAATACGAGCACTGCCTACCACCCTCAATCAGACGGCCAAACTGAGGTGGTTAATCGTTGATTAGAGGCCTACCTTAGGTGTTTTATCCAAGAACAACCTAAAAGGTGGAATGACTACCTTTGCTGGGCTGAGTACTCTTTCAACACGAGTTACCATGTTGCGGCTAATACCACACCATTTCAGATCATATATGGCAAGAACCACCACCGCTTATCCCATATATAAAAGGAGAAACAGCAGTGGCTGAACTGGAGGAGCAACTGCAGTTAAGGGATGACATGTTGAACATTCTGCGTGATAACTTACTCAAAGCTCAAAATCGCATGAAAAGTCAAGCTGGCCGCCACCGTAGAGACATACAATTTTCTCCAGGAGATGTAGTATGGTTAAAAATACAACCATATCGTCAAAAAACCTTAGCCAAGCGAAGATTTGAAAAACTGTATCCAAGGTTCTTTGGGCCATACAAAGTGCTTCGCCGCATCCCATTTTCATGTTTCATTATTAAAACCAGCTATTGGTCAGGAGTTGCCTCACTTACCAGTTCCTTTACCCTTATCATCAGGCATGGAGTTGATACTTATCCTTTCCAAGGTGCTGCAGCACACTGGACTGATAGCAAGACTCTCGAAGTGCTACTACAGTGGGAAGGCAAGTCATCCGAAGAAGCCACTTGGGAGGATTATGACTTATTCACTGCACAATTTCCAGACTTTTGACTTGAGGACAAGTCGTTTTTTCAAAGGGGGGAGTAATGATAGGAATTTTAAATTTACTTATTCTAAAAAGAAGAAACAGGGAAACGTTGCAGCATAGTTTTATGGCTAGTGATTCCTGATTTTATGCTTTTATTTATTTTATTTTTATCTATTAGGCTGTTATCATTCAGTTGAGAAATAAGTGGATCTTCCCACTACTACGTAGGAGTTAATTAGTAGTGCTCAACTATTTCCCTATTGTTCCTCCCTGTAATCTCTTTAAATAGGCTCTTTGCCTCATGAATAAATCATCGACATTTCAAATACATATTATTCTCTGGAGATTCTCCTTTGGTCTTTCTTTAAGTAAGTGTGAGATTCTTGCCTTACTGATAGAAGATTTGTTACTCTTAATTTTCCTTTTTCCTTTATTTAATTTTTGGGTTCTACCAAAAGCTCCAACGTATCATGAAGTCAGAGAAACGTTCCTGCGAAAAGAGGTAGAAAAAAAAGATCTTGTGGTCAGCAAGCATAAGAAATTCTGGAAATTAGATGGCTGCACCATCATGTCAGACGGATGGCAAGATAAAAGGCATAGAACTCTAGTGAACTTGTGCGTGAATTCTAGCAAGGGGATAGTGTTTATGAAAGTAGTAGATGTTTCATCTTACAAGAAGATGAGGGAAGCACTTTTCGAGCTTTTTGATGAGTGGATTAAAGAGATTGGTCCTCAAAGTGTCATACAAGTTGTGACTGACAACGCTAAAAATTATGGATTAGCGAAGAGGAAAATTGAACAAAGATATCCACATATCTTCACAACGGGGTGTGCAACTCACTGTCTTGACCTTGTTCTAGAAGACTTTTCAAAGAAGATGCTGATAGTTAAAAGAACTGTGAAGACAGCGCAGGGGATTACTACCTACATCTACAGCCATACCCTTGTTCACGATTTACCAAGGGGAAAGAGCTAGTTAGACAAGCTGCCACTCGATTTGACACTAACTTTTTAATTTTTCAAAGTCTTCTCACTCGGAAACAAGCATTAAGGCAAATGTTTGCTTCACCAAAATGGTTTGGAAGCGAGTTTGCAAAAACCACGGAAGGTGAATCTTATTCTGATTCAATTTATCGTCAAACCTTTTGGAGAAGTGTTGCCAATGTTATGAAGATCTCTTTGCCCGTTGTGAAGGTCTTGAGAATTACGGATGGGGATTTGCCTCCAATGGGCTTTATATATGAAGCTATGGAGAGAGTGAAATTGGGAATAAAGAACACACTTGGGCTATGTTTGGTATGATGTAATCAATCATGTAATGTAATGCGCATTACGTGTTGATTCAAATACGATGTTTGGTATGTCATTTTATTTCAAACCGTAATGTAATGTGCATTACGTATGTGGAATCCATTACTTTAATATGTGTAACAGGCTTTACATTAGAAACGTAGTGACGTAGTGTATTTGAGATTACATTTTCTTGTATTTCTTTTAAGTGTGGCCATTTGTTCCCTCTCCCGGCAAATGATTTTTCCTTTTCAAATTTGCACTTTTTCTTCTTCCCAAGTGTTCTGCCGCTGCAAACCAAACATAATAATGGAATATTGATTTGATTTCATTACATTACATTTTTTATTGCATTACATACTCTATTCCAATGCATTGCCACCATGGGGTTATTCCCTTAATATTACTAAACTAAAGCTAATTTCCAGAAAAGTGACACATTTATATTTGGACAAAAATGTGACTAATGCATAGTGACATCCCCACAGTGACATTCACGTAGCTAATCTTTGCAGTGACATCAATCACAGTGACGCCGCCACGGTGACGCCGCCACCAGAAAGTTTTTCGGCTCCCTTTCCGGCGCCATGGCGCCAACAACACCGCGACTTTCCCGCTACACAACCCAAGCCGCCATTGCCGCCCTTGTCCGTCCCCAGCCACCACCGCTGCTCTTGCCCCGACCACAGCCGCTACCGCCGCCCCTGCCCCATCCCAACTTGTCACTGCTCACACACCAGCCCTACACATCAGGTCCCCAGCCCCACTCCCAGCCACCAGCGCTACTCCCAGCCACAGCCCTATGCTCCCCACCCCGCCCCTAGCCCCCTACGCACCAGACCCCCACCCAGCCCCCAATCCCCGCCCACAAGGCCCTACGCACCAGATCCCACCCAGCCCCCAGCCCATACTCCCGAACCTAGCCCCCTGCCCTGCCCCCTATCATTCCATCAGGCCCCTCTCCGACAAGTGTGGCCGAAAACGGTAATCCCATCTGGGATTAGATGCGACGGAGAGCTAACGAGCTCTAGTACCTGTGACAACCAACCCTCCATGGAAGAAGATGGCGGCGTCCACCGCCACATTGACCACACAGAAAAGGGAAGAAACAGAAATCGGCAGGGGAGGGCGACGACGACTGGCGGAGCACAGATGCGGCCTGCAATGGTGGACTCCAGAGGCGTAGTTGCCGGCTGTGAGGTCAATGAGATGAGCGATGGAGGAAGGAGGCCTGCGATCGACGATAGATGAGCGATGGATGGAGAAGGCCTGCAGTGGATTGTTCCAGTTCTAGATGTGTTGATCTCGATGGGGGGAGAGGGGTTAGGTCACATTATTGTTGTTGGGTTAATGGCCCAACAGGGATTGGCCCATAAACCCTCAAGGCCCACCTTACGAACGTCCCCGGAAGGCCCAAGACAACGGGTTAGCCCCCCATTATCCTGGCGAGGTTCGTCCCCAATGGGGCCGAGCCCCAACACCGAGGCCCAGGGGACGTACGTATTCTGACGTAAGCAGGTACCTTTGGCCCATGAGTAGCACAAGACACTGAGGGGACGAATGTCCCCACCCTCGGCGGGAAGGCAAGATCCCAGCAGGGAACAGGAGGCAAGCTCATGGGGACGAACGTCCCCACCCCTTGGCGGGAAGTCAAGGTCCCAATAGGAAACAAGAGGCAAAATCATGGGGACGAACATCCCCACTCCTTGGCGGAAAACAACAGACGCAGGTCCTTCAGGAGAAGGCAACAACATGCGGTCCGGGACCGCACCCCAGTGATGCCCCGCAATGATCATGCGGCCAGGGAACAGAACCTAAGGTCAGCAGCATGGGGCAGGGGGCCGCATCCCCAACAGGCAGCGTGGCGCAGACGTCGTGCGTACCCAAGATGCCTTGGCGCTGTTGACCCCCACGGCCGCAGCTACTGACCCATGAGATGAGATGCTCACGGATCTCCAAAGGCAGATCCATGAACTGCGACGGGCAGATACTGATCCGGCTCAGCCCAGAATTGCACTCTCCTCCCCATTCTCCGCCAAGATCATAGCGGTGGAGATTCCGAGGGACGTTTGTCCACACGGCGCTCTAATTTATAATGGAGTTGGGTCCCGAAGGCCCACCTACTTTCATTCCAGGGAGAACTCTCCACGTTGGGAGCCTCTGATGAGGCCATCTGCAGGTTGTTTTTCAGCACCCTCAGAGGGCCGGCGCAGGAATGGTTCGGGCAAGTCAGGCTCGGATCCATTGATAGCTTTGAACAGCTCTCCAGACAGTTCATGGCGCAGTTCGTCTCCAGCTTCACGCCGAAGAGGCACTTCAGCTGGTTGACGAACGTCTGCCAAGGGAAGGAGGAACCCCTGTCAACTTTCCTCATACGATAGAGGGATGAAACCCTGAAGGTCGAGGACCTCGCAGAGAGCACGGCCATCACCCTCTTCACCAACGCGCTTGTAACTGGGGACCTTTACCTAGAATTGATGAGGAACCCCGGGAGCAGTTATGTCGAGGTGATGGCCAGGGCGCAGAGGTATGCGGCAATCGATGAAGAAATTGCCCAAAGGGACGGGGTGTTCGTCCCTGCAACTCATGAAATGTCAGACCGTCTGGGGCCGAAGCCATCGGACTCCCACGAAGCAAGAAAGAAAAAGACGAGCGGCGTCTACGCCCCGTGGGCGACGCAGGAGCAGGCCACGTACGGACGACACACGGAGGCCAAGCATATCCCTCTGGCGCTCCCGGTGAGCCAAATCTTTGAGGATATCAAAGACAAGGGAATGCTCGAAGAACCGCCAATTTCTGATGAGCCAATGGGCAAGAACCACATGGCTTACTGCCGCAGCCTCATAGCAGCCATCGATGACCTTATCCGGAGAGGCTACCTCAGAGAGTTCACAGAGGGGCCGAGCTTCCAGAACCAGATGCAACCGTACAAGAAGCCGCATACCTGACATCGGGACGAACGGCGGGAGCCGGAAGTCAAAGATGACGACTACCACCATGCCGACGAATGGCCCGAGAGGTCACATGGGCCGGACGGTCGTAGGAAGAAATTGGAGATCAAGTGATCTCTAGGGAAGTGGGTAGTACTCCTCCGTCCGGCGACAGAGACTTCAGGTACAAGCCGTTTTTCTTTGAAGGTCCAAACTAAAAGACCGAAGTGGCTGCACCCCAGGGAGGGACGCCCGGATCAAGAGGCGAGCCCCGAGTTTCGAGGTTTTTGATGGATGGCTGTACAAGAATACACTCGTCGGACGTTTCTTCCTCCACACAATGGAGGGACGCACCGCCGTCATGTGGAATATGGGGCACCTGAAGAAATCCTCCACAAAAAATTCCTTCCTCCCAAAAAAATGGGGGAAGAGGGAGACATAACTCCCGGAACCATACCTGCTCAACTATCAAGACCACCGACCTCACGTAGCATAAGACCCAAGGGCCGCACAGAGGACCGGTGGGAAGATGGTTGAGCGAAAAGAAAAGGATCCTAGGCGATGTGCCTGCTCTTCGTCAAGATCATCGGCCTCGCATAGCATAAGACCCAAGGGCCGCACGGAGGACCGAAGGGAAGATAGTTGAGCGAAAAGAAAAGGATCCTAGGCGACGTGTCTGCTCTTCTTCAAGATCATCGGCCTCGCGTAGCATAAGACCTAAAGGCCGCACGGAGGACCGGTGAGAAGATGGTCAAGCGAAAAGATGGACGTCCCCAAGAGGATAGAGTTGCTCTTTATGAAGATCACCGGCCTCGCGTAGCATAAGACCCAAGGGTCGCACGGAGGACCGGTGGGAAGATGGTTGAGCGAAAAGAAAAGGATCATAGGCGACGTACCTGCTCTTCGTCTAGATCATCGGCCTCACGTAGCATAAGACCCAAGGGCCGCACGGAGGACCGATGAGAAGATGGTTGAGCAAAACGCAGCAGATCCTAGATGATATACATGCTCTTCATGAATATCATCGACCTCACGTAGCATAAGACCCAAGGGCCGCACGGAGGACCGGTGAGAAAATGGTTGAGCAAAGAACAAGGATCCTAGGCGACGTGCCTGCTCTTCATCAAGATCACCGGCCTCGCGTAGCATAAGACCCAAGGGCCGCACGTGGGACCGGTTAGAAGATGGTCGAGCGAAAAGACGGACGTCTCCAAGAGGATAGAGCTGCTCTTCATGAAGTTCACCGGCCTCGCGTAGCATAAGACCCAAGGGCCACACGAAAGACCGGTGAGAAGATGGTTGAGCGAAAAGAAAAGGATCCTAGGCGACGTGTCTGCTCTTCGTCAAAATCATCGGCCTCGCGTAGCATAAGACCCAAGGGCCGCACGGAGGACCGGTGAGATGATGGTCGAGCGAAAAGATGGACATCCCCAAGAGGATAGAGCTACTCTTCATGAAGATCACCGGCCTCGCGTAGCATAAGTCCCAAGGGCCGCACGGTGGACCGGTGAGAAAATGGTTGAGCAAAGAAAAGGATCCCAATGTCGCCTGCTCTTCATCAAGATCATCGACCTCACATAGCATAAGACCCTAGGGCCACACGGAGGACCGATGAGAAGATGGTCGAGCGGAAAGACGAACGTCCCTAAGAGGTTAGAGTTGCTCTTCCTGAAGATCACCGGCCTCGCGTAGCATAAGACCCAAGGGCCGCACAGAAGGCCGGTGAGAAGACGGTCGAGCAAAGAACAAGGGTATCCCCAGAGACGAACAACAGAGTACCTCCCCTCTAGACGAGGGGACATACGTCCCCCAATGGCTGCCAAGGCCTATTCACATAGATGTCCCAAGGAAATGAAGAATGTCGTACCCACAGGAATTACAAGGTGGCTCATCGACTTGGGAGGCGCCAAGGGCACTAGCTGGAGACGTACGTCGGATCCGATTCTACTTCCTTATGTCCCGCGCACGCTCGGAACATCGGAAGTGGGGGACTTGTGTTGGGTTGATGGCCCATAAACCCTACTGAGGATCACCCTATGAACGTCCCCAAACCCTACAGTCTGGGGGCAAATACCCTCAGAATGGCAGTAACGACGTTCGGCTCCTGCGCCAAAAATGGCGGTAAGCGGTGACGACACACGACAACCTCTCAAGGGGTATATGAGCAGGCAAACAGCGCATCAGGAGACGTATATCGGATCCAGTTCTACTTCCTTATGTCCCGTGCATGCTCGGAACATCAAAAGTGGGGGACTTGTGTTGGGTTAATGGCCCAACAGGGATTGGCCCTTAAACCCTCAAGGCCCACCTTACGAACGTCCCCAGAAGGCCCAAGACAACGGGTTAGCCCCCCATTATCCTGGCGAGGTTTGTCCCCAATGGGGCCAAGCCCCAACACCGAGGCCCAGGGGACGTACGTATTCTGGCGTAAGTATGTACCTTTGGCCCAGGAGCAGCACAAGACACTGAGGGGACGAACGTCCCCACCCTCAGCAGGAAGCCAAGATCCCAGCAGGGAACAGGAGGAAAGCCCATGGGGACGAACGTCCCCACCCCTTGGCGGGAAGTCAAGGTCCCAACAGGAAAAAAAGAGGCAAGATCATGGGGACGAACGTCCCCACCCCTTGGCAGGAAGCCAAGGTCCCAGCAGGAAATAGGAGGCAAGCTCATGGGGACGAACGTCCCCACCCCTTGACGGGAAGCCAAGATCCTGGCGGGAAGCGCATTTAATGCAGAAGATTTGGTGGTTAGGGTCAAGCGATCCACAGCCCGCCACGTCAATGCATCCAACTACCCATTGGCAGTATTAATAGAAGCATTTATTTCATTGTAAGTGGTGGGCAACTAAGCACTTTGATAGTATAGCATTGTAACAGCTCGTAGCATATGCCAGGGACGAACGGCTTCAAGCCTTTATACCGAGATTAATGTAATAAGACTTCTTACTGGGTCTCTTCTTGCTTGTTTCTACATCTTTATTTCTTCCTTTCGAAACCCTTGGGTCGTGTGTTGGGCCTACTGGTTGACGGAATAAACCTCAACAATTGTAAAGTTTCAAAATGGTCACATTTTTGTCTACTAAAACCTTCCAGATAATATTTGTGCCATTCTTTCTTGCACCATACCAAACATAGCCTTGGAGGCAAATAAGAGAAATACATGCCTCTTTGGAAGATAATTGATAAGCGTTGGAATGAGAACCTCCATTCTCCATTACATGCAGCGGGGTACTATCTCAATCCTCAATTCTTCTACCCTAATTCACGGCGAATCCCCGGAGATGAAGAAGTATGTGATGGTTTTATAAAGTGTGTGGAGAAGATTGGAGAGAGTAGAGTTTTCAACTGAGATATCAAACTACACAAATGCTAGAGGAAGTTTTCGAACTAAAATGGCAATGAACAATAGGGACAAACAATCACCTGGTATGCAATCTCTATTCTTATTTTAATTACTTATTTTTGGTAATCTATAAAGTATAATTGTAGTAATCAGGAGTCTGGACACTTCTAAACTGCAACCTAGTGTACTAAAACCTACTGTAATGCTTTGTATAAACTGTACTAAAACTTACTGTAATGCTAATATGCTATGCAAACTGTAATTCACTTTCTCGAATCTGAAGTATTGAAACTTAGTATTTTAGCATATTAGCATATTAAACAAAGTTGTTATATTAGCAGTTTCAAACTGTAAGTTTTAGCAAATACAAACTGTAATTGACTTTCAATATTAGCGTATTGAAACCTACTATTAATTTTAGCACATTAATCAGATTTCCAACTTTCTGGAATCTGGAGTATTGAAACTGAATCTATTCATTAAACTAGAACTGAGTATTGAAACTTGGAAATCTGAAACCTACTGTAATCTACAAACTATAAGTCTGTAATTGACTTACACTTGCAGAGTTGCATCTTTAACCTACTGTAATTGACTTGCAGACTTACAGTAGTAACCTACTGTAATTGGGAAATCTGAAAATCTGGGCTTTGAAATGAATAAATGATACTTGAAAATCTGAAACCTACTGTATAATTAGTTCTGAAATTTTAAGTATTATTAGTTCGGAAACTTTTAAGTATTATTAGTTCTGAAATTTGAAAACTTTAAATCTGAGTATTGTTTTCTATATTATTGATTAGCACTTGGTTGAAATTTGAAAATATAGTGGACTGGACGGCTCCTCGTCTCCCACTTTGCAACATCTTGCTGTTCGGATCCTTAGTTTAACTAGCAGTGCTTCTGGATGTGAACGTGTAAGTTTTAGGAATAAAACTTCCTTGATTGAATAAGCCAAACGGCCAGGGTATAAATACGCTTTGTACAGATAACAACTAGCTAGTACAGATCCTAAAAAATAGGATCTTGATAACTACAAAGCTTATCTACAACTAACTGCATCTATCCTAGTCTATCTGACTACATATGTACATCAATTTAATCAGAAAAAATAATGTAACATTTTCTACACTCCCCCTCAAGTTGGTGAATATATATCATACATTCCCAACTTGCTCACAAGTAGCTCAAATATAGGTATAAATAACCCTTTGGTGAAGATATCAGTTGTTTGATCTTTAGTGGATACAAATGGTGTGCAAATGATTCCAGCTTCAATCTTCTCCTTAATGAAATGTCTGTCCACTTCAATATGCTTAGTTCTATCATGTAGCACAGGGTTATGAGCAATGCTTATAGCAACTTTATTATCACAATACAACTTCATAGGCAGCTCAATCTCCATCTTCAGTTCTGTGATTACTCTTTTGATCCAGAGTAATTCACATATTCCATTAGCCATAGCTCTAAATTCTGATTCTGCACTACTTCTAGCAACCACATTTTGTTTCTTACTTCTCCAGGTTACTAGATTTCCCCATACATAGGTACAGTATCCAGAAGTAGATCTCCTATCAGATATTGAGCCAGCATAATCTGCATCAGTGAAAGCTTCAATTGTCCTACTGTCTCCCTTTTCGAAAAACAATCCCTTCCCTGGACAGCTCTTCAGGTATCTCAGAATCTTGTAAGTAGCATCCAGATGTTCTTGGAGAGGATGATGCATAAACTGACTCACCATACTTATTGCAAATGCAATATCTGGCCTTGTGTGTGCCAGATATATTAATTTTCCCACCAATCTTTGATATTGGTAAATATCAACTGGAATTCCCTCCTTGATATCTCCCAATTTCTGACTTGGGTCAATTGGAGTGTCTGTTGGTTTGCAAGCACTCATTCTAGTTTCCTGTAGAAGATCTAGGATATATTTTCTTTGTGAGACAACAATACCCTTCTTTGATCTAGCTATCTCCATTCCTAGAAAAAAAATTAAATTTCCTAGGTCTTTGATCTCGAATTCATGAGCAAGTTTGTCTTTCAACCTTTTAGCCTCTGTGTGATAATTTCCTGTGACGATAATATCATCTACATAGACAATTAAGATTGCAATCTCCCTCTTACCTGAAAACTTCATGAATAAAGTATGGTCAGCTTGAGCTTGATTAAATCCTTGCTTCTTTATGAACTTTGTGAACCTGTCAAACCAGGCTCTTGGAGATTGTTTAAGTCCATACAAAGCCTTCTCTAATCTGCAAACTTTTGACCCAAACTTATTTTTAAACCCAGGAGGAGGTTCCATGTACACTTCTTCTTCAAGTTTCCCATTTAAAAAAGCATTCTTCACATCCACTTGTTGTAATGGTCAGTCTAAATTGGCAGCAAGAGATAAAAGAATTCTTACAGTGTTTAACTTTGCAAATGGTGCAAAGGTTTCTGTGTAGTCAATTCCATAGGTCTGTGTGTAACCCTTGACAACTAGTCTTGCCTTATACCTCTCCAAACTTCCATCTGCCTTAAACTTGGGAGTGAAAATCCACCTGCAACCAACTGTAGGTTTATTTTTAGGTAACTCTACAAGCTTCCATGTCTGATTCTTTTCAAGAGTCTCCATCTCCTCCAAAACAACTTTCTTCCACTCAGGTTTAGATAGAGCATCTTGTATGGTTGAGGGAATAGAAATAGAAGAAATATTGGAAGTAAAGGCTGCAAAAGTTGGGGTTAATTTAGAATAAGAAACATAGTTTGAGATGGGGTATTTAACACATGTTCTTCTTTCTTTTCCGAGAGCAATTGAAAGGTCAAGGTTGCTAGGAGTATTACCTTTTTCACTTCCTCGTATCGAGTCAGAATCATGGACAGTTGTAGGTTCTTGGACTTCCTCTATTCTTTGATTTCTAACCCTTCTCTCATAAACTTTGTCAAAGAACTGACTTGTCTGTTGATCCTTTTCAATTGGTTCAGTTGTATTTACTTCATTATTTTTCATTTCTTGATCATTTTCAGTTGTACTGTTATTTCTAAACGTATGATCATCCAGATTAATATCAAGAAAATTAAGGTTTTCATGAATATGTGGCACTATTGGAACGTCTTCACTTAATTTCTCCCCCTGAAGATGAGAATCAAAAAAAGGTTGTTCTTCCACAAAGAAGGTATCCATTGTAACAACCATTGTTTTGGTTGTAGGATCAAAACATTTATACCCTTTTTTAGTGGCAGAAACACATAGAAAAACACATTTTTTCCTCTAGGATCTAACTTACTGGCAGATCTATAAGGATTTTGTATAAACACTGTGCAACCAAAAAATTTTAAAGGAAAGGTGTTTACCAATCTATTTGTAGGAAAGAAGTGTTGTAGTGAACTGATAGGACTTTTAAATCCTAAAGTTTTGGATGGCATGCGATTAATTAAATACGTAGCATGTAACACAGCCTCTCCCCACAAATATTTTGGTATGTTTGTTGAAAACATGATTGCACGAGTCACTTCAAGCAAATGCCTATTTTTCCTTTCTGCAATTCCATTTTGAGTTGGTGTATTGACACAAGAGCTTTGATGGATAATGCCTTTTTGAGTAAAAAAATTGTTCAAAGTTTGAGAAAAATATTCACGGCCATTATCACTTCTTACCATTTTAATTTTGGTATTGAATTGAGTTTGGACACTATGGGTCATCCGGAAACAGTCTCTCTGTGCTTTAGTACAGGGGTAAGACTGCGTACATCCGACCCCCCCTTACCCCACCGTAGGTGGGAGCCTTTGCGGCACTGGGGTAAATGAAAATGAAATTGAGTTTGGACCATAGCATAAAATTCCCTAAATATTTTCTCAACTTCAGATTTTTCTTTGATTAAAAATACCCATGTGACTCGTGTATGATCATCAATAATAGTTACAAACCATCTCTTTCCCTTTAAAGTTGGTATTCTAGATGGACCCCAAATGTCACTATGTACCAAGGTAAAAGGACTAGTAAGTTTATAACTTTGGGGTAGATAAGTGTTTCTGTGATGTTTTGCAAGTGCACACATATCACAATTAAACAAAGAAGCATCTTTATTCAGAAATAATTGAGGAAACATCCTTTTTAAATAATAGAAGCTAGGGTGTCCTAGTTTATAATGAAGTAAATACAAATCTTTATTGTTTGAAAAAGAAACAGTTTGAAAACAAGCATTTCTTGGACCTCTTTTATTTGATTGAGTTTCTCCATCAAAGATATAGAGTCCATCCTCCTTAGCACTGCCAATCATCTTCCCCGATGCCAGGTCCTGAAAAATGCAATAAGAAGGATAAAAAATAACACAACAGTGTAGATCTTTAGTTATTTGACTAACTGAAGCAAGATTGCAGGATAGATTAGGGACATGAAGGACTTTGGATAGATTCAGGGATGAGGAAATACTAATATTTCCCATCCCTGCAATGGCTGATAAAGAACCATCTGCAACCTTAACCTTTTTATCTCCTGCACTAGGTTTGTATGATGAAAAAAGATTTGAAATAGAGGTCATGTGGTCAGTAGCCCCTGAGTCAATAACCTAGGAATTTTTAGATTTCCCAGAACAAAAAATTGATGAATAGGTACCATTTTGGGCATAAGAACAAAAGGAAGATTCTGGTTTGGATTCTTTCTCGGAATTTTGGGTTTTCTGGGAATGTAGGAGGGTAAGAAGTTGCTCTATCTGCTCCTGAGTGAATGAAGGTTGATTGAACTTGACGTGTGGTTCTTGTTGAGTCTCAGTCACAGTTGTTTGTAGGGCCTTCTCACTTTTTTTCTTTCTTGCTCGTGGTGGTTTGCCATGAATTTTCCAACAAGTCTCCCTAGTGTGCCATAATTTCTTGAAGTGATCACACCAGGGTTTTTTCTTGTCATCACTCCTAGCCAGTAGCCACCATTGCTGAAGAGTCCCCAGATTCCTCATTATGTACTGGAGTGTTGTACATAACTTTCTTCCTACTGTCTTCCAACCTGATTTCATAAAATACCTCCCTGATGGAGGGTAGAGGTTTTTTTCCAAGTATTCTTCCCTTAACTTCATCTAGGTCTCTATTAATTCTCGCTAGGAACATATAGACCCTATCATTTTCCTCCCTTTTTTGTATCTTGCTAGATCCTTGGCACTCTCCCACTTCTCATCATCATAGCATTGATCCAACTCTTGCCATAGGGATACCATCTCATTATAGTAAGAGATGACATCTCTATTTCCTTGTTTGGACTGCCACAACTTGGTTTTTAATTCAAAAATCTGAGAAGAATTCTCAAGATCTGAGTAAGTTCCCTTAATTGAATCTCATACCTCCTTTGCAGTTTTCATGAACATGTGAGGTTTGGCAATTGATGCATCCATTGAACTGAGAAACCAGGCTATCACCAAGGAATTTTCTGACCTCCAGATATTGTAGCCATCATCACCAGTTTGTTTCTCCTTTATTTCACCAGTTATGTACCCTAGTTTGCCCCTTCCATCAATTGCGAGCTTGACAGACTGTGACCATTCGATATAATTTGTGCCATTCAATCTATGTCCAGTAATGAGCATAGATGAATGAACTGAGGTCGGGTAGTTTGTCATGAAGCTATTTTGGGAGTTAGGGTTATGGGTTTGTGAGTGGGGAGAAGAGTCAGAGTGCTCGGTTTCCACCATTGTGGTGTTTAAACGGCCTGCTCTGATACCATGTAAGCTTTAGGAATAAAACTTCCTTGATTGAATAAGCGAAACGGCAGGGTATAAATACACTTTGTACAGATAACTAGCTAGTACATATCCTAAAAAAATAGGATCTTGATGACTACAAAGCTTATCTACAACTAATTGCATCTATACTAGTCTATCCGACTACATATGTACATCAATTTAATCAGAAAAAATAATGTAACATTTTCTACAGAACGAAACTGGAGTACTTTTGAAAATATAAGTTCATGAAACTGTCTATCATATTTAGTTTTACGCTATCAATACTTCATTTTTCATCTACTTATTTTAGGTTCAAAGCAAGATCAACGTCTTCAAAAAAATGAATGATTTGGTACACATTCGGCAGAATCAACGTCTTAAAGATCAAGCTTTCAAAAAAATGAAAATATGTTTGGATGACATTGACGATTGCTATGAATGGATTGGTGAAGCTGCCGACCAAATGAAATGGAAAATTGGGATGTAGTCAGTAGTGGAAGAAGTTGTTGGTGTTAATGAAGCAAATCACAACACAAGAACAACAACATCAAGGGCATCAACACTTCAGCTGCACGAGGAAGAGGAGACGGAGGAGACCGAGGAGGCGGAGGAAACGGACGAGGTTGCAGGTCCCTCTGATGATGATATGAATGAGGATGGTGTGCCATTGCTATCAGATTCAGACCAAGGTGATGAGGAGTGCGATGATTGATGATGATTATGCCATAATCATCAAACAAAAACAAGCTAACAAGCCTAAATCCTAACATATTTTGCAAGACATGAAACTTTTTTTGAATATTATGTTTTTGGAAGTACTTTAAACTATTTTAACTTCACGTGTTTTGGTTAGAATGTTGTTATTCAACTTTTTTATCATGTTGTGGTGGTTGGGTTGATGAATTATAGTGTCTATCATTCCTTTTGAAGATTTTTTTGTCACGTGGCGACGCCATATTTGCGCCATTGCCATCGCCTTGTAGATTCCAGTCTTCAAAAAAAATGTTAAATCTGTGTAAGCTGTTTCATCTAGTTAAACAGGTCCAGCAAAAGAAGGGTGTTTTCCTAACCATACACCTTTAAGCAAAACAGAAGCTGTAAAAGCATTCCTTACAACAGTGTCTATTAGTATTGTCCAAATTATCAAGTGAGGTATGGTAAATGTTTCACCAGTTAATTATGCCTAAATATCAATATTATATCTACTTTCATGCCGGAATAGTTTTGTTTTGTGTATTATGTATGAAGTAGACAATTACTTGCAGATAATGACCTATTGGAAATGGCAAGTCAACAAACCTGGTTTTCCAAGCGTATATTTATAGCCTGAATTTTGGATATGCAGCCTTCAGCCCCATCCTGGACAATAGCTTCAACCTAAAGACAGCCATCAAATTAAAGGAAACCAACAAAGCACATGAAACAACTCAAATTTTGTGAAAAATGTAGATGAAGTGGCACAGTAACATTTGAATGAACAATTGTAAATACAGAGAACTGAAAGTAATCCTATTAACTAAATCATTTACCAAGAACTCCCATGTAACCTTATCATGAGATCAATCCCCTTTGAGCAATTAACCTCATGATCACATTGTTATATTTTTGGGAATAGGGTATGAATTGAGATGAACTACTCCCTCTATCCCCATCCCCTATCACACACACCTATCACTTGGCTGTAATGCTAACAAATAAAAAAAGTAACTAAAAAAAGAAAAAAGGAAGAGAAGAGCAATGAAGGTAAGTACAATGGGGGATACCATGGCCTTATAGAAAGCAATTTGGGGAGTAGAATATTTAGTCCCCAGCTTTGACTGTTCGTCAGAAACATTATTGACGACTCCATAATATACACTTCCATCATACTGATTCCTACAAGCCCTCAGTTCAAATTGGACATATGCCAGTTCTGCATTTATCTTCCTTAGAAAATCATTAAATAGCTGATTATGTGTACCTAAAATACACAAAATCATAGAATGAAATTACAAACGATAATTGAATGCAATTCCAAAATCGCATTAACCATATTCACTAATGAAATTATCTACGATTGCAGCCATATTTCTTTAAATATCATAAAAAAGGTTACACTTTTTACATGGGAACATAGAACTTGAATATGTTTACATGAACTCAGTGAAAAAGAGGAACAATTTTGGAGCAGTAAGCAGTTAATTGAGTTCAATCCAAGGAAATAGAACGATAATTTGGAAAATTATAAACACCTGGAGACTTTTCAGTGACGGTATAGAAGATGGATTTGAAATCCGCTTCCGGGAGAGGGCCGCGAGACAGCAGAGATTGGATGAGGGTGTGGTGTCTCCAGCTCAGCGCAGGCATTTTACCGGCGAGATAGCGAAAGGGGGAGAGGGCGGGCAATGAAAAACAGGGGCAAGATTGCATTCGAAAGATCGTGAAAAATAAAAAATGTTGATATAAATTTTATAAAAATCGGATCAAAAATAAAAAAGTTATTACTATTTTTTAAAAACAAAAAGAAAAAAAATATATAAATCCGTATACCGGTCGTACGGTATAGGCACTGAAAAACAGGAGGGAGAGTTTATGGTTACATAACCATAGAGGGCAGAAAAGTGAGACAAATTTTGGGCAGAAAAGCCTAGGAAAGAAAGTTGATGGGCACGTTTTATGGTGAGAAAAGATATTTTTCACGGCTTTTTAGTATTTTTCCATTTTTCCATTTTTTACCCATTTTTCCATTTTTGATTGTGCTTTTATTATTATCTCGTACCATATTTGTTAATATTTGTGTGGGCCTAATTCATTCTTACTTTATTTTCACTTTATTAACTAATTACCAATCACATAATTCTACTTTTCTTAAAAACCACACTACTGTCTACTCCCTTCTGTACCAATATTAGGGGGACGGAGGGAGTATTATCTTTTAGTGAATGAAAAGATGTTAAAAGAAAAAGTTGATAGTTGTTTGGTAAAAAACTGACAGTTTGATTTAGTTATGTTTGGTATACAAGCTGTTAGGAATAATTAATACTAAAAGTCATGAACTTTTCTCGGATGCTACTCCATGTAACATCTCAAAAAAGTTTTTTTATTTTTTGAAAAGCTCTTAAAAGTTGTCATGCCAAACATACAACTAGAAACCTTTAGAGACTTTTAGAGACTTTTTAAACAGTACAAAAGCTAGAAGGTATAGACTTATATGTCTACCAAACATGCAGTATTATGCATTCACAATGACTTTCAACTTATCCACTATTCATATTTAACTTAAGTCTGTTAACTAATTATGTCATTTTTCGTATATTTTAACCATCAGGAACATTAAAAATGATCATATATGGACAAAAACACTAGCCATGTCTCAAAAATTGACAAAACATGGACTGACACTAACCGCAATTTATACTGTGGGATCGGCCCACCATGAACATGGTGTGTCGATCGTAAAACGACGTTGTTCTGTTTATTAAAAAATTAAGTTCAAGCTTGGCATTAACCGACTGAAAGTTGAGTTTCATTTTCCGTAGCTAACATTAACGGATTTCTCTCTTTGCTCTTCCATCTCTTCAACTCGTCTCTAAGCTTCTTCAATGAAATTTTCTGTCGATGATTCAGTTCTTTTGAATTTGTCGATTGTATTCCGATATACTTTTCCTTCTGATATACTCCCTCCGTCCCTCATTGTTTGTCCTAGTTTGACTTCACAAGTTTTAAGGAAATGAGTTTGACTTTACACTGTAGCGACACTGTTTGACACTGTAGTGACACTGTTTGGCACTGTTTTGACTGTTTGATATAGTTTTGTTTACCAAATAAGGAAGTTTAAAAGTAGGACAAACATTTTGGGACATCCGTTTTGGTAAAGTAAGACAAACATTTAGGGACGGAGGTAGTACATGATAACATTATTCATTCAACTGGTGACAATAATTTCGAAATTGATCAACTTGTTAATGTTGAATTTATCGGTATGTATTAATGTTTTCTGTTATAGAATTTTGTTTATCTGTGTGTGCAGTATTGTGTAATATCTTTTGTTCTCTGTTTTATAAGATTGCTTGAGAATTTGGCTTATGGTAATCATATTTGTTGAATTTTGTTGTTTTACGTTCAGGAGAAGAAGATGTTGGTTCAAGGGCTTCTAAATTGTTATGTCTTCTTAGCAGAGGACAGAGGTGCATAGTCTGTCATGTGAATTTATTTCAATGTTATGTAACTTGAGTTTATTTTGTTTGTAACCTGCGTTCAATAGTATGTAACTCATGTTCAATTGTATGTACATTTTGTTCAATGAAATGTAACTTCAGTTCAATTGTATGTAACTCCGATTTAATTATATGTAACTTGGCTTCAATTTATGTAGTTGTTGTTTGTTTTCATTTATACGCTTTGTAAATTGTCAGATTCATTGGAAACTGTTGACCATGCAACTGAGAGTAAAACACTTGTTGGCTTAGTGAGTGTGAACATGATGCTTATAATCTTTACAACAATCATGCTTTTGAAAGTGGATCTGGTATTCGTAGATACAAACAGAGATTTAGGAGTGGCAATGTAAGTTTGATTATGAAGTCTTACTGTTGTTGGAAATAAGGGAGAAAACTACAAAAGAGTACTGAAAACAAAATGTATACCAAGTTAGATTAGCGTTCTGGTTGTAAAGTCAAGTTACAATTTTATATTAGTATTGATGGTGAATGGGCTGTTTCAAAGCATATTATTGATCACAATCATGCTTTTTATCCAATTGGTCAAAGACACCTTCTAAAATCACATAGAGGTGTTGATTGTGAGTATCTTGAGTGTATTATATTGATGAAGGAGAGTGGGACAAAGGTTTCAGATATTCAGAAGATGCTTCAAAAACAGGTTGGTGGTGTTAGTGCTATTGGATTCACCAAACATGATGCTTACAACGTTCTAGAATCTAAAAGGAGTAAAACGTTTGATGGTACATATTCAAACACTTTGATTGGTATATTGAAGAAAATGGCTAAAGTGGAATCTGACTTTTTCTTTGAATTTGAGTTGGATGACGGTATACTGAGTTGTTTTTTCTGGAGAGATGGTCAAATGAGATCCGATTATGAGAGGTTTGGAGATTTCGTTGTGCATGATACAACTTACAAAACTAACAAGTATGATATGATCTGTGGTCCGTTTGCTGGTACGAATCATCACTGTAAAAACATAATGTTTGGTTGTGGGTTTATGCTTAATGAAAAGGTGGACATGGGTGGTAAAAACAAGACTAGTCTTGTGTTTGATTATTTCAAACTTTTCTGAAATCTTTGGGTGGTAAACACCCCATCAGTTTAGACCAGTCATTTTCCATGGCATCAGCTATAAAATCTGTGTTTCCTGAGGCAAAACATAGACTGTGCACATGACATATAGATGAGAATTCAAAGAAACACATCATGCATCTACGCAAGAAGATAAATTTTGTCCCTCTATTTGATTATGTTGTTAAACGATGTGACACTGTTGCAAAGTTTGATTTCTACTGGACTGAGTTAGTTATTTGTTTTCTGATGTAACTTCCTAATTATTGTATGTAAATTCTTAAATATTTGGTATAACGTGTATGCGTTTTATATGTAACCTTTTCTTTCTTTTAAAACATGTTTGAGATTTAACAGAGTTTATGAATGCAGTGACAACCCATGGTTGAAGATGTTGTACAGTCATAGAGAAATTTGGTGCCCTACTTTTTTAAATGATTACTTCTCTGATGTCGTTCTATCCTCCCAAAGAAGTGAATCTACAAATAGATCTATATCAAGAAGACTTTCAAAAACTGCAACATTGTGTGTTTTTTACAAAATGTTTTGTGATGTTGATGAATGGAGGTTAGAGGAAAACAGTCAAGAATTCAGATGTTCAGAAGGCACGTGTTGAGACGGTACTGTTGCAAGACAGTGTGTTGTCTCATGCTAGAGTTGTGTATACCCTGGAAATGTCCAAATTGTTCCAGGAACAATATTTGAAGGGTATGTCACATTTTTATAAATTAATCTCATAGAATTGTCATGCTTATTGTATATCATATTTGGTTGAATGGGGTAGACTTGATTGGACACACTCTTGCTTTTAATGGAAATGCCAACACAATGACATGCATTTGTAAGATGTTTTTAGAAGTTGGCATTTTGTGTAGACACATTTTGCGTATATATAAAGTTCATTTTGTGAAATATATTCCCCAAGTTTATATACTGTCTAGATGGACAAAGGCTGTTATTCTGCCACATGTTAGTCTTTCTATTGCATAAGGAACATATATTATGTTTGGGAAAATATTGGAACATTCTGTTTGGAGAGTGCAAATGACTAGGAAATTTAATACAATATCGGCTGCAAGTGATGGTCTACCTGAAGCTAGGCAAGTATGTGAGCAAGGATATGAGTCTATCAGACAGTTTTTAGATGTTCAAAAAAATGTTTCTAGTGTTGATGATTCTGCATGTGGTCCAAGGACAATATTAGATCCTCTTCGTTCTCGTCCTAACGGTTAGCGAAATACGCGAAAGAGAATCATTGTTGAAAAGTAGTGCAAAATAGTTAAAGCTCGTCATTCCAAATCCCAAAACATGGTGAGTACTTCAAAATCAGTTCCCAATCCCTTGTACATGTATTTTTTATTTTTTATTTTATATTTAATGCCCAATTTGATCATTACTTTTTCTTTTGCTTTCATTCTATGACACTACTTTTTCTTTCGCTTTCATTCCAGGACACCGTTAATGCCCAATCTGATCATTACTTTGTTTCTTTCCGTAACGTTTTATTTTTTCCAGAACCAGAACTGTTCGGAACCAGAAGACCATGGGGGTTTTCTGTTGACTTCAGCACCAGAAGACCATGAGTGTGTTCTGTTGGCTTCCGAACAGAAGACCATGAGGTCTTCTGGACTCTGGTGGCTTCCGGACATAAACCCACGGAGCATTTCTGGTCGCGCACCTGAGCGGCTACAACAATAAATGTCCAATGTTCTTATCTTTTAATGCAGCGTTAAATGGATAGTTCATGGACGATTCAATGCCCAACGGGATGGTCATTGATGCCCAACATTCATGTCCCATAACTCCCCATTAACACACAACAAATCCTCCTATAAATAGCTTGCAGGTGCTTTGCAACAACACATGCAATCACAAGCAATCATACACAGTTAGCACGTATTTTGGAGCTCTGAGACACCTTCAGCTTTCCCGAAACTTTCCTAAGTGCTCTAGCTTGGTTCCGTTCGCCGGAACTTTCGTTTGTGTGCTCAAACGATCATTCGTTAGTCACCGTATCCTGAAAAACGGTCGTTGCACACCCAACAATACATGACACAAATATTGTGACGAATACGTTTTAAGGACATCGTGCGTAGCACGATGTCTGGCTAATTTCTGCTCCATCTATT